TTTCTTAATCTCCTCAAATTAGTCAACTGGCTCTTATAATTAGGACCGGAGGTAGTATGATGTTTTAGGAAAAATGTGTCACATTTTTTATAATTAATTAACTTACCTAACTTATTTAATCTAATTAGTTAAATAGGTCTTATATTAAGGATATGAGGAGTAATTAAGATTTAAATGAGTTTTTATTAAAAACCTGGAGAAAGTACAGTCGAAGACATTTCTAAGCAAAACAAACTGTGCAACTATAGTCTCAGAAATACTAGATTAGTAGCAGCCGTTGCCTCGAACGAGACAAAATTTCACAGCAGCAAGCTTCCATTCAGCTTCAGATCACTGTTCGTGTGCAAAGGATCAAACCGATGATATTCAAAATCATATCAGGAAATATGTGATGTTGCACTGTTCAAATTTTATCCTCCATTAAACTACTTTTTTTTTTATTTTAAAAAAGGGAAAAAGACAGAAAAATGTACCTTTAATTTCATAAACCCAGAAACGTCCGCTGAATTCAGGAAATCCCATTTTGGTACCATGAGACCAAATTGGGATTAATATGTGAAAGGAAAAGACCACATTGCCCTTCATTTTAAATATTATTTTTAAAATATCACAGCCCTACTGGCCGGCCGGTCACCGGACCTCCGGCGGCGGCGGTCACCGGAGCTCCGGCGACCAGCCGACAATTGGTCACCGGAGCTCCGTCGGTCGGAATTTTTTTTTTTGAAAATTTTTACAACTTCAATATAACGGTTAACAACTTTTGTAATGCGATTAACAACTTCAGTATAACAATTAACAACAGCTTTTCTGGGAAATTTAACAAACTCCGGCGACCGGAAACAATTATTTTGAAAATTTTTACAACTTCAATATAACCATTAACAACTTTTGTAATGCCATTCACAACTTCAATATAGCAATTAACAACAAGTTTTCTGAGAAATTCAATAAACTCCGGCGACCGGAAACAATTTTTTTGAAAATTTTTACAACTTCAATATAACGATTAACAACTTTTGTACTGCTATTAACAACTTCAGTATAGCAATTAACAACAGCTTTTCTGGGAAATTCAACAAACTCCGGCGACCAAAAACAATTTTTTGAAAATTTTTACAACTTCAGTATAACGGTTAACAACTTTTGTAACCCTATTAACAACTTCAGTATAGCGGTTAACAACAAGTTTTTGAGTTATATAATTTTTCAAAAAAATCTGTTGTTAACTGCTATACTGAAGTTGTTAATAGTGTTACAAAAGTTGTTAACCGCTATATTGAAGTTGTAAAAATTTTCAAAAAAATTATTTCCGGTCGCCGGAGTTTGTTGAATTTCCCAGAAAACTTGTTGTTAATTGCTATATTGAAGTTGTTAATAGCATTATAAAATTTGTTAATCGTTATATTAAAGTTGTAAAAATTTTCAACTTCAGTACAACGTTAACAATTACGTTTTTTTGAAAATTTTTACAACTCCAATATAACGGTTAACAACTTTGATATAGCAGTTAACAACAAGTTTTTAAATTCAAAAAGTGACATTTTTATAACTTCAGTAATGCCTTTAACAAACTCAAAAACCTGTTGTTAACCGCTATACTGAAGTTGTTAATAGGCTTACAAAAGTTGTTAACCGCTATATTGAAGTTGTAAAAATTTTCAAAAAAATTATTTCCGGTCGCTGGAGTTTGTTGAATTTCCCAGAAAACTTGTTGTTAATTGCTATATTGAAGTTGTTAATAGCATTATAAAAGTTGTTAATCGTTATATTGAAGTTGTAAAAATTTCAACTTCAGTACAACGTTAACAATTACGTTTTTTTAAAAATTTTTACAACTCCAATATAACGGTTAACAACTTTGATATAGCAGTTAACAACAAGTTTTTAAATTCAAAAAGTGACATTTTTATAACTTCAGTAATGCCTTTAACAAACTCAAAAACCTGTTGTTAACCGCTATACTGAAGTTGTTAATAGGCTTACAAAAGTTGTTAACCGCTATATTGAAGTTGTAAAAATTTTCAAAAAAACTATTTCCGGTCGCCGGAGTTTGTTGAATTTCCCAGAAAACTTGTTGTTAATTGCTATATTGAAGTTGTTAATAGCATTATAAAAGTTGTTAATCGTTATATTGAAGTTGTAAAAATTTTCAACTTCAGTACAACGTTAACAATTACGTTTTTTTGAAAATTTTTACAACTCCAATATAACGGTTAACAACTTTGATATAGCAGTTAACAACAAGTTTTTAAATTCAAAAAGTGACATTTTTATAACTTCAGTAATGCCTTTAACAAACTCAAAAAACCTGTTGTTAACCGCTATACTGAAGTTGTTAATAGGCTTACAAAAGTTGTTAACCGCTATATTGAAGTTGTAAAAATTTTCAAAAAAACTATTTCCGGTCGCCGGAGTTTGTTGAATTTCCCAGAAAACTTGTTGTTAATTGCTATATTGAAGTTGTTAATAGCATTATAAAAGTTGTTAATCGTTATATTGAAGTTGTAAAAATTTTCAACTTCAGTACAACGTTAACAATTACGTTTTTTTTGAAAATTTTTACAACTCCAATATAACGGTTAACAACTTTGATATAGCAGTTAACAACAAGTTTTTAAATTCAAAAAGTGACATTTTTATAACTTCAGTAATGCCTTTAACAAACTCAAAAACCTGTTGTTAACCGCTATACTGAAGTTGTTAATAGGCTTACAAAAGTTGTTAACCGCTATATTGAAGTTGTAAAAATTTTCAAAAAAATTATTTCCGGTCGCCGGAGTTTGTTGAATTTCCCAGAAAACTTGTTGTTAATTGCTATATTGAAGTTGTTAATAGCATTATAAAAGTTGTTAATCGTTATATTGAAGTTGTAAAAATTTTCAACTTCAGTATAACGTTAACAATTACGTTTTTTTGAAAATTTTTACAACTCCAATATAACGGTTAACAACTTTGATATAGCAGTAACAACAAGTTTTTAAATTCAAAAAGTGACATTTTTATAACTTCAGTAATGCCTTTAACAAACTCAAAAACTTGTTGTTAACCACTATACTGAAGTTGTTAATAGGCTTACAAAAGTTGTTAATCGTTATATTGAAGTTGTAAAAATTTTCAAAAAATTATTTCCGGTCACCGGAGTTGGTTGTTGTTAATTGCTATATTGAAGTTGTTAATAGCAGTACAAAAGTTGTTAACCGTTATATTGAAGTTGTAAAAATTTTCAAAAAAATTGTTTCCGGTCGCCGAAGTTTATTGAATTTTCCAGAAAACCTGTTGTTAATTGCTATATTGAAGTTGTGAATGGCATTACAAAAGTTGTTAACGGTTATATTGAAGTTGTAAAAATTTTCAAAATAATTGTTTCCGGTCGCCGGAGTTTGTTGAATTTCCTAGAAAAGCTGTTGTTAATTGTTATATTGAAGTTGTTAATCACATTACAAAAGTTGTTAACCGTTATATTGAAGTTGTAAAAATTTTCAAAAAAAAAATTCCGACCGACGGAGCTCCGGTGACCAATTGTCGGATGGTCGCCGGAGCTCCGGTGACCGCCGCCGCCGGAGGTCCGGTGACCGGCCGGCCAGTAGGGCTGTGATATTTTAAAAATAATATTTAAAATGAAGGGCAATGTGGTCTTTTCCTTTCACATATTAATCCCAATTTGGTCTCATGGTACCAAAATGGGATTTTCTGAATTCAGCGGACGTTTCTGGGTTTATGAAATTAAAGGTGCATTTTTCTGTCTTTTTCCCTTTAAAAAAAGGCTTATTTTGGGACACCTAATGGACAATCCTTTTGGTGAATATTGGCAAGAAAAAAGATTCAAGTCACACAAAAACAAAATGACATATTATTAAGGTATTAATTACAATTCAATATATTATTAAAATATATTGCAATGTAAATAATATATCAATAAATATTATACAATCAAAAATAAAATTGTAATTTTTTATCTAAATTTTTATTCAATTTTTGTCTATTTGATTTTTGAAAAAATACATAATTAATAGGGGTTAATATAATCATTAATTCCTCAAATTTGTCTTTATTTTAATTTTGATCTTTCAAATTTCAAACCATAAATTCTTATCCCTCAAAGTCAATGAGTAAAATGATCCAAACTTTTATTAAGTTATAAGAACCAATATTTTAAATAAAAAAAATTGAAGGATCAAAACCTACTATTTAAAATTTAAAAAACCAAAACTAAAATGAAACTAAATATAAGAAAAAATATATTAACCTAATAACAGAACTCATATTTTTGGTGTCCACCACATACATACAATTTAATTTTAATAAAATTCCATTCATGTAATCCGCAAGGAGAAGGAGAAGTGTTCATCCTAAATATAAATCATTTATAGTTACTTTTTTTTTGACCTAGAATTACTTGCACTACTTTCAATTCTAATTATAAGAATTAGTTAACTAATTTGAGGAAATTAAAAAAATAAATTAAGTTAATTATTTGTAATAAATATGTGTTGTCTTTTCTAAAATATTCTTACTAATCAAGTGTGTTGGCTAGAACTACTATTATTAGAAAGACAAAAAATATGCATAAATATAAAAAGCAAAATAAATTAAAGTTTTAAGATTAAAATAAAAATTAAATAAGATCCTATATTTAAACATAATTACTCGTATTAAATACGATTTGAGGCTGACAAGCAGAAAACTGGAAGGGATTTTTGTTTTTTTGGGCCCCCGGGAGGGGCGGGGCGGTGGAGATCCGACTTTTTTTTTTTTTTTTGGATTTCTCCTCCGGTATCCCAGGGAAATAGGCGTCTTTCAGCCGTGACAACGTCCCCAGACTAATCCGGATCGAGGGCTTGCAAGGAACCTTTCGGTCGGCGCCCTCTGGCCCCTCAGGGTGCTGCATTCCCACAGCTCGAACTCGAGACCTGTGGAGATCCGACTTTGATCATCAACATAACGGCTAGCGATGTGTCGAAGCGAACTTCCTTTCGTCCACCCATGTGAGGTCCACAAGTCACGACCACAACCACTCGTGGATTCGGGGGCGAGCCACTGTGGTTACCCCCAGAAACTTCGTGGAACTTCAGTAATAAACAATCACTCGCAAAAGGTACTTCGATTTTTGTTCTTATTTCACTTTTTAATTGTGGATTTCCTCTTCAATTTTGGATCGTTATGATTGCTGTGTACATTACTATTCTGATTTAGATTCCGAATACTGAGATAGCCAATCGTACGGGCTGAAATGCTCAGACAAACTGATAACTTCACTTTTCTCATTCCTTGCCGAATTGAATGTAGCAATTTGAATTAATCATGAAAATTTGAAGTTTGCCCCGACCCGAAGAAAAGAAAGGGTTCTTTATTCACTTGACCTTTTTATGGTATGCCCAAGAAATTGGAGTCGAATTAACATAGATTCGATATCTTGAATTTTGTGTCAAGATTTCCTTATTTATTTCTGAAGATGAGCCGACTATAGGAGCCGATTCATTCATATAATGGAAACAATACAGCTTCAGTCCTGTATTGTATAACGTTGGCTATAGGCCTACACGGACAGCAATTATTTTGATTTTTTTCGTGTGATAGAATTACGGTCATTATAAAATTCGAGCTCCGGAAAGTGAGAACCTTGTATTGTAAAATTTGCAGCTTTGGTACATGTTTTTACAGACTCCAGAACCTTATTTGTTGAGGTGTAGATTCTGTCAACATGCGAGCCGGAGAAGTTCATTTGCTCTAACGCAGATTTAGGTCGCTGGCTTTCGCAGTAACAGGCTATTGGAATTGTTTATCATCAATGCAGGAATGAGCTTGGCTTTCTCTTCACCTGCTTATTATCCACGTTCTGGAAAGACGTCCAATGGCCAGGTTAGGCCAGTCTTTGGTACCACCAGGAAATTCTTCATGCCTAAAATGTTTGCATGTTCGGCATCAATAGCCACCCCAGACACTCAGGTTGGCCTTATATTATTTGTTCCACAGTTTCTATTTTAGTTTCAACTCCTTTTTTTGTTTCATCATAGTCGGCAATGTTTGGGATTGTAGGCATATGAAATTGAGTTAGAGGACAAGAAGCACATACTTTTAAGTGCTATCCAGGAGACACAAAGGGGACTCTCCACAACTGCTGAGCAACGCTCTTCCATTGAGGAGTCTCTGGTCTGTTGTTTATTTTCTTTGTTCCCTTCTTCATTATGATCTATGTCAGCCTTCCTCTTAATCTAAATTCTTTGCTAGATATTGTGGGGACCATTTAGGATGAAAACCACAAAGGAAAATGAAGTTGGTTAATATAAAATTTTCTTGGTATATGCATTTGGCAGGTGAATGTGGAGACGTACAACATGGGCGAGCCAATTGATTTGGTAAAATTGAATGGAACATGGCGCCTGCAGTATACTTCTGCCCCTGATGTGCTCGTTCTTCTGGAAGCTGCTGCTAGACTTCCTTTCTTTCAAGTATTAATAATGAAATTTAGTATCTTTCAGTCAAGTCTTGGGAGTTCTTTCTTTCTTCTGACTGAATACTCTGCCTGCAATGTCTTTTCTAATTATAAAAAACTGTTTCCATTAACCATTAAGTAGATGAGGGTTCAAATAAAATTACCTTTTATCTTCTGCATTTATTGGATGACGTTTGAACTTGTCAGTACTTGGTAGTCGGTAGTGCCTTGCTGCATCAGGATTCTGTAAAATAAGGTCATGTAGGACTGTGTTAATGTTTTTTCCTTTGTTCTATGTCCTTTAATGTCGATCTCTTAGCATTTTATTAATCTCCTTGCTACTCTGTTGTGATAGGTTGGACAGATCTTTCAGAAATTTGAATGTCAAGATCAGACTAATGGAGGTATTATTCGCAACATTGTCCGGTGGAGTATTCCAAATTTGCTGGAGGTAAAAACAATTCCTTCCTTTGGTTTACCCTGTCTTTGTCAACAGGCTTTAACTCGGATATGAATACAAGCTCTGCAATTCAAAACTCAAGTTGCAATTTTTTGTTTCTCTCAAACTATAACTATGACACTTCTCTTCTTAATATCCTCTTCCATTTCCACTATATCATGGACTAACTTCCTAGATTGGACTCCTCAAGTGATTATGAAATATGCAGACCTTGAGTTAAAGATGGCTAAGTAACTTGTCATTTCTATTCCCGTTACTTTTGATAATTTCTCACTGGGACCATGCTTTTTGACCTCTCGAAATATGTAAGAGAAGGAATCCTATTTGTATTGCTTTTTTCAGTAATAAGATAACCAGAATTTTATACCAGAAATATTTGGAAACTTCAAGACATATTAGTTGTCTGCAAACTGGAATGACGTTTCAAATGCATACTGTTAGGGTGTTTCCAAGTCGGTTAGAAATTTGAGAAAATTCTCCTTGATCTTGGCATTCTAAAGCTTCTTCCATTTAGCTTTTTCCAGCATTACATTTTCCATATTACCGTACCAATTGGCCTAAGCTTGATAGATGAGCAAAGAAAATTGCATGAAATGCTTGAGCTGTGGTGCTGCACCCTTGAACCCATTTTAATAAAAATTTCTTGCCCTTTCCCATATGCAGGACCAAGAAGGTGCCACATTGCTTGTATCTGCCAAGTTTTCTGCTGTATCTGCACGTAATATCTATCTTCAGTTTCAAGAGGTAATAAGTCTGAATTCCAGGAGCTTGCTTTCTACAATATTTGAGAAATAAACCCTCTCAAACAGAAACTATTTGTCATTATTTCATGATAAATATATGCATGCTTTTTTCCGTCTTAATTACATATTTCTCCATAAGTTAGATCATACTTCAACTTTAACTTCTTTTTTTGTGCATAGATTTTGCCTTATCTATCAAAAGTGATTTTACTCTTTTAGCATAAACTAAAGATTAAAGCTCTATTATATAATGATGGTGATGCTGAGGTACTAATTGCCGGAACAAATGGACTTCTTGTTCAGGTTGAAGAAATGGGCATCCATCTCAGTTTTTTATTTTTCTATTTTCTTGAAGACTAACTCAAATGATTTCATAGTGAAATGGGTAGTGCAGATAACTTGCACATACAAGAAATACTTATAAAGACATGCTATCTGAAGGCTCAAGGGGAAAAAATTTAAAAGACCAAAAGTTTATCTCTGACAGCTATTGAGTGGCAGAACCATATTTTTTAATAGTGATTCAACGGTTAATATTTTGGCAAACTCTCCTCTGCCCCATGGTTAGATGGCATTCAGTGCATGCATCTAATTTAATTTCTTGAAGGAAGTTTTAAAGCTTAATATATATGCATAGTTTAACATAAACTGACAAGATACACGTGGAGATGATGTTGTCCTCAAAATTCATATTAGCATCATCTATGACACAGAAGAAAAGACTCTTCCACTATTGATATTTATTGTAAGTGATATCTTCTTCTATTATCAGTGTTTTATGTTACCCAATATTCGCAGATCACACTCCAAGATATAATTATTAGCGAGGAGCTACAGGCTGCAATAGCTCCAGCAATACTACCACGGTCTTTTATAAGCTTGCAGGTAATGGATTCAACATTAAGCAGCTGTATTTGGTTTTTCTACTTCATACTAGCATTCAAGATCTCATTGACATTCATTAAATTATTCATGAAGCAGCGTCTGTTAAAAAAATCTGGTGACTCACCTTTTTTGGGTGAAAGACTCACTTTTTATATGAATGAATGAAGTTTTGTGTGCACTCGCACGCAAGCTGTTACTTACAGACTTCTTTTTATTTTTTAATTATGTTATGTATACATGCCTGTGCAGATATTACAATTCCTCCGTACTTTCAAAGCTCAAATCCCCGTACGGGACCCTGGAAGGTATGTAATGTGCTATTCTAGTAAGGGAAAAAAACAAGTATCATGGGACAAGTCTAATAACACTGGGTTGTTTTTATTTGGAATTATAGGCAATCAGTAGGAGGGCTATATTATCTATCTTATTTGGATAATAATTTGCTTTTGGGTCGTGCGGTTGGTGGAGGAGGAGTATTTGTGTTTACCAGAGCCCAATCTCTTTACTGATGAGCAATAGTTGCAATAATTGGAAACTGTTCTCAGCAAGCCAATATTTATGCAAGTAGCAAAGCAATACGGAGAGCAAGTAATCAATTCTTCTGGCAAACTGGCAGAGGCTTATATGCCCAGAATTATTGATGTTTTCTTATCCTTGCATCAAGTATCTCAGTCGTGGTAAATATTCCATTTTAACGGCCAGTGAACTATGTTTTGCTCTGTGTTTCTCTTAAGAAAAAGGTTCGATTTTTATTTTATTATGCTGCTTCATAAAAATTGCAGGTAACTTAACAGCCCTTTTTTGTTCGTTGAATCCTCACACATTCATCAAAATAACATGTATAATCCACATTTAATTGGGAGGTTGAGGGCTTCTATCATTTGTTTGAGGGTCTCATTCTAGCGAAATCATATGGTTGAGTAATGAATAACTTGCCGGTTCTGTGCCTCTTCTTTTTGTTTTTTTGTTTTTGGGGGGGGGGGGGGGAAGAGGATAAAGAAAGTTTTCTTTCTCCATCATTGTTTTTCTTCCCAAAAAATATTTATTATCCCCCTCCTAAATATAAAAGCTATTTAAAATCTCAATTTGGTTTTAAATATAATACCTCAATTTACTTTGTCTTTCATATTTATTTATTTTTCTCCTTATTATAATGGATCAACAAGTTAATTCACACAAACTAAGAAATGATAGTTATATCATTAAATGTGTTCCTAAAGTATAAAGTTTTTCAAAACTACCCTTCTAGCAAATTTAGAGGGTGTTTGGATAAAACCAAACTATGATTTAAGGAATAGCTTTTGAAAAATAGATTTTGGGAGAATAGATTTTAAGAAAAAGTGATTATTAAAAAATACCCATAATCATATGAAACTCATCTTAAAATATTAAGACTTCATCATAAATACATAAAAATCTTTAAAAACATTAAAAAAAATTAAAGGTAACATCCAAATTAAATTATTGAAAAATAAAAAATTCACCTAGACTAGACCAGACCAGACTAGTCCTTGTGGTCTGATCACTTGGTCCGAAACCCAGTCCAACCTAATCAACTAGTCTGGTCTAATCTATTCTAATTTCATTATATAGTTTATTTGGACTGGACTAGATCGAACTACTTCAGGTTAGATTGGACTGTATTGGATCACCGGGTTTTTGCACACCCCTAATCTTAGAGTCTACACTTGAACATGTACAAGCGATTGGATGCATTATGCTATTTTGCCTCTTCGAGTTATCTTGTTATAACTCATTTGAATGATTTTCGCCTACTGTTTTTTATGAGATATCTGTATGAATATGAAGTGTATAATTAGGTTTTGAGTTTCGAAGTAAAAATTCTGAGTCAATTTATTAGTCTGTGGTAAAAAATTGGCTTGTAACTTATAAAATTGTAGGTTTGAATCTCGCTACTGACACGAGAATTTTGTTAGTGAACAATCTGCAAGCTTTCTTTGATTATGAAGGCATGTTGTAATGATGAACTTTTAAAATGCAACTTATCTAAACTTTTTGTACCAAAAAAAAAATTGGAGTCAGGTTTCCTTTCCATCCTTCAAGCTTAAAGAACCCTTGAATGAGCTTTGGATATCATTACTTTTGAGTTTCAAGCACATTCATCTATTCTGATATGATTCAATTGATCAATGGTCTTAGATCCTTGAAAATAATATTTTATTTTAGAAGATCTAATCTTAACTCGCGAGTGAATCTGGGTAAGTGGAGTAAATTAATGTGCTACAGTTAAGGACTTCACGTCAAGGGAATGGGTTGCCGTTCTGCTTTGATGGCGTCTGATCTTCATCAATTATTACTCACCTATTGATAACAACGTCACTGTCATCACCATTCCTGTTTTGAGTTTCAGATTCAGATTGAGGCTCCTTCTCCAACACACTCCAACTTGTTATTCATGGAGGGATTAATTCCAGTTTTTTGGGCGGAAACAATCTGCAAACTGGAGGGAACAAAGTGCAAATATTTTTTCCCCCCATACTTGGTCTCCATTGTGGTCGACTCATCGTATACATGAAAGTTTTTATACTTTTATCTGGAAGAATCCATATATACGGTTTGGGTCCCAAATTTGCCAAACCGGGATTAAGAAACCATGGTTTTAGACTCAAATGATGGTTTCAAAAAAAGTAAATCCATTCTGTTTTTGGTTCAAATTAGAGAATATAATTGTGCCTGTTAGAATAAGTTTCAATGATAATAAACAAGGAAAAAATTATTAATAACCCTGTTGACCCTTCATAATAAAGATTAAAATTTTCTTCTAAATAACCCCTTTAATAAGGGTTTGGGGGAGTAATTGTATATTAAAATGTTTTCATTCTAATACATATTATTAACAATAGTATTTTAAAGAAAAATAATACATATTTGTTTGCCTAGACCAGTCCATCAATCTGGTGGACCAAGTCTAATCCAACCCAATCTCGGTTCATTACTAGACTGAATCAGACCACAGACTGCCAAACCCAGTCTGACCAAAAATCAGATCGGACTTCAGGTTGGGCTTTGGTTCTGTCCAGCCTGTGCACTGTAGCCTTACCTAAGATTATAAAGAAGATAACAATGTCGGGCCTGTTTGGATGCTCTGAAACCGTGGTTTCAGAAGCACTTTTCTGCAAAACGAGGTAACCTCCTCTACATATTTACTTCGTAATCCGTAAAAGCACTTCTGAAACCATGGTTTTGTTTTTATCCAAACACTCCCGTCATTGTCAACACCATACCTGTTTTTATAATGTAACTTCAAGACATTATTGTTTTAGACATGTAATCACGTGGATATAAATTGATCAATATTCTCAAAGAATCTTTTTTTTAATATTTAAAAACGATAATTACCACCGTACTTAACACTAGTTGTTAGTATTAATAAGTTATAGGAATAATACAATATTTTTAGCTACATATTTGGATACGCTCATCATTCATGTATAAATTTCATTACCAGGACTGTTACAAATAAGTTCCACCTAAAAGGGGTTTTTACTGTAATAAATGTTAAATTTTGGGAACTGATATGTGAGTTCCCTTTTTCATTATTTTATTTAAATGACACTATCACCAACGTGACCCTTGCTCTTTCTGTTTGTCCTTTAGCCAAATAACGAAAACCCAGTGCAAGTTGTAATTTTTTTTTCTTTTCCATTTTTTTAATATTTTCTTGTCTTTTGGTCGTTTGAGAGAGAGGGGACGAGATCAACAGTAACAACAGAATCAACATACGTCCTCAGCCACTGCCTACCACAAATGGAGTTTTCAAGTTTCAACACTTCATAATATTTCAGAAAATTAATTTTTGCTTTCTTAAAATAAGATTAAATAAATTTCAAAGGGGAAAAATATGACGTAATAAATAATCAGAATGTGAGAACAAAAACAAATCAATACTTCACCCACCGTCCATTGCGTAAGAAGAAATCATTTCACGAGTACCAAACTCAGCTGGAAACTCCGAAGTCCAAAGCTCACCGCTTTCTCTGATTTCCGCCGTCTGCTTCTGGAAGCACGTACGTCCTCTGGATTCCTCCAATTTACATAGCTTCAGTGTACAAACTATAAACAACACCTGAAAATTTGTGTTTCTTGTGATAATCGTAGTATTTTCTCGAGGAAAGTAGAGGACTTCGAGTTCGTTCGATTAGAAACTAACATGGGTTTCTTCTCGGATTCTTGTTTGGTGATTCTCTTTGGTTTCGTTTGTTTGCCTTTTCTACTTCGTTTATAGTATTTTCGAGATTCTTTCTATGCAGATTTCTAATGACCAATAATTGTGATGAAGAGGATTCTTTGTCGAGCGAAAATCTATTTGGAAGGCTGCCTGATCATTTGTTGATAGAAATTTTCGTTAGAGTCCCAGTTAAAGACTGGCCACAGATATCTTGTGTTAAAAAGCACTGGGCCAGTCTTTTTCGTCGTGAATGCTTGTGGCAGGCAGCTTTAGCTAAGAATTTTCCTTTGGCAGATCAAGCTCGAAGATGGCCTGGGCCTATTCCTCGAGGTTTAAGCAGGAGGTAGCATTTTTCTAATTCAATACTTTCCTTTTGACACATTACAACCACATCGAACATCTGGAATTATTTAACATCTCAAAGCCAGTTTTATTTTATGAAGACTGAGTTATTTGATTACTGCTTGACAAAATGCTTCAGCGAATCTCGCTTCCACAAGTATATATGATGCTTTGATACCGTTTGTCCTAAACAATAATAATATTGACAATTATCTATACATCTGTCATTGCTATTTTTTACAATATTCATATCATAGTATGTAGAATTCGGTTCTTACTTCTTGCAGTTACTCAGACAGGATGACTGTATTTCTGTAATGACTTCTGTCAGAATCAAATACTCATTTGCAGACAAAAAATTTATAGCTTTATATGTTATTTTTGATATTTAAAGTAATCTAAGCTCCCCAGTTCTATGCATTTAGGATATGCAAAGCATGTGTTTCTGACATTGTCTTCATATCGTTTCAGGAGATTTATGGCCTTTTATATAAGTAAACAAATATTTGCTTTGGACAGTGAGGTAGATGAGATTGTTGGCCATGTTTATCTATTTTTGAAAGAGCAGCTTGAACTTCCAACTATGCCACCTCACAGCGGAATACTTCATGGAACCATTATTGGTGTGGCCTCTCTGCTTTCATTTTGTCTTCTTTTTTGGTATTCAAGGCCTGTGCATCATCGGATTGCATTTATAATAAACACTAACATAGTCAAAATAAAGAACATATATTAAAATTTTCTGTCATTAACTGTTTTTCAACTAAACTGTTTTCTGATCTTAACTGCTTCTTTATTGTTGATTTCCTTTTGCTTTTGAATGCCTATTCCACACGATGCAACAGATCTTTGTGCATATATATAGACTCTAATCAAATTAAATCTATACGGTAATAACGTTGATCTTTTTCCAGAACTGCGAGTTAAACCAACCAAGCCCTGTCAAGCCTTTTTGTATGATGTCGTCTAGCTGACATTTGTTAATGCCTTGTATAATTCTTTGTAAAAATTACTTGGCTATTTACAGATCAGTTCATTGCTTGTGGGAAATCAAGAGACTCAGCCCATGAGCTTGCGTCACTAATATGGCTAGCTGTTCTAGACAATTTGGAGGAAAATGAGCGCACATTTGCCTTACTTAAACGTCTAGCCCAGGAGGGGGATGTAAGTGTTGCTTTTACTACTATACCTGCTGATTTTTTATTTATTTATTTTTAAGTATGGCTATTTGATTGAATTAGATCTAAATATTATTGGGTTCAATTAGGGGTAGCTCTCCTAAAGACCTTTTTTTTTTTTTTTTTTTTGGGTGCGTCTACACGGACCTGAACTCAGGACCTCATGTTTAAGCAGTCAAAACCTCTTCCACTAAGACCAATGGCCGTTTTCTCCTAGAATTTCCCTTTCTTTC